TTACCCAAATTAGAATCTGATTCTTCTTTTCTTCTAGGTACATCCTCCTATCTCGAGTAACATTTGTATACGATTTAGGAAACATGTTCACGCTAAAGAGTCCTTTTAGATCTCCTCTGATTTGTTGCTAATCATTCTTCACATCTCTCTCTTTTCTTTAATCTAATAGATGATAGATCTCAGATCTAGTCTATTAAATGGCAAACGATGTCTCACCCCACTCAAGAGCTAAAGTCAACTTAAAACTAAGATCTAATGGATTATTTGCAGGTAAATTGAGGGTTCAAACTTTTGTGATAAAAACCAAGCATTAGTTCGCGTTGTATTTGAGCTTGACTTTCAAAGTTGGTACATACATTTGACTCAGCCAAAAAAATTTGGAGTTCCGCTTGGCTTAATTGGATTACAGCGAACAGAAAGATTGGGGCCAACAAAGATTTAAAAGAATCAGAAAATAAATAACACTGCTGGGACCAGATATTTTCATCACCTATCTAAAATCTAGACTAAAAACAAGATACAACAAGATATGATGAACAATACATGCAACAACAACAACATACCCAGTGTATTCCCACAAGTGAGGTGTGGGGAGGGTAGTATGTATACAGACCTTACCCCCGACTTGTGAAGTTAGAGAGGCTGTTTCCGGAAGATCCTCGGCTATGAAGAACAATACATACAACAACAACCCAGTATAATCCCACTTAGTGGGATCTGGGGAGGGTAGTGTGTACGCAGACCTTACCCCTACCCTGAGGTAGAGAGGCTGTTTCCGGAAGATCCTCGGCTATGAAGAACAATACATACAACAACAACCCAGTATAATCCCACTTAGTGGGATCTGGGGAGGGTAGTGTGTACGCAGACCTTACCCCTACCCTGAGGTAGAGAGGCTGTTTCCAAATAGACCCCCGGCATCCTTCCCTCCAAGAACTTCCCACCTTGCTCTTGGGGAGACTCGAACTCACAACCTCTTGGTTGGAAGTGGAGGTTGTTTACCATCAGAGCAACCCCTCTTGTCTTTCACAGCTTTAAATGTGCTTCAATGACTTGCAACTTATTTCAGGTTATTTTCTTCCGACATATTTCAGGAAGTATTGTAGACACCAAGAGGTATTATGACTCTACAACTAGGTTCCAGCGATATCTCAGAACTAAGCGGACAGATAGATTATGCAACAATGTAAGTGTACAATAGCACTTTACTGCTAGTCTACTACTCAACTCCCCATAACGACGTCCTTGTAAACAAAGCTAAAGACAAAGATTAAATGACTTACCAAGACTAGAATCAGCACATTGACTACTAAAGATTCAACATAATCTTAGGATATATATTTCTTCATATGTTGTATTGGCAGGAATTGGTTACATTAAAAGTGGGAATCCAGCAGCTCAAGCTCCGCCATGGGAGGCAAAATGGGACCATCAAAAACCCTTGACTAAGGAGTTTCCAATATGCATTTGGTAGGGAACATGAAACAAGTTAAAATGCGGGCTGTTTTTCCCCCTTTTGCCAACAACAGTTCGTTTTTACTTAATCAAAGGAATAAAATTCAGGAATCCTATAAAATTATGTGGCATACTGAAGTTCTTCACCAGCAAATATTTGTTAAAGATATGATAGGCATATTAAAGAGAACTTCCTATACAATTGCAAACATCTATAAAAACAAATATATTTGTATGTTGGTTTGGTTCAGTTTTTTGTTGTTCAGTACCTAAATAAATCAAACCAAATATACGCCAGTTTTTTAAGTCAGTTTGATCCAATTTTTCAGTCTGGTTTGGTCTTACGGTTTTCCTTGGATTGAACACCACTAACCGTGAGTAATCTTCAGGAAGTAAACCTCAACATTGCTACAGAACAAATAGCTAGTTTACCAACCTTTTCTCATAAAGAATAGCAGATACAAGGCTGGAAAAAGTTTCAGGCTTCATATCTCTCTCTTCTCTAAGCTGATATAGCTTGTGACGGAAGACGAGCCTTTGATACCTAAAGAAACCGTAATCAAAAGCACATATCAGTGTACAAAATCCAAACAAATCAACCTAATAACCAGATTTTGATGCACCCCCTCACCATCCCACAATCAACAAGAAAGCAGCACCAAATAAGGAACAAAAAAACACAGTTCCACCCTTTATTTCGCACTCCCCACATCCCCAACCTGCAGGAAGCATCTTAGTCAGTTATCACCAACTCCAAGCTCCAGTCAACTTCCATGCTTAACATTTCTACAGCAATACAATTTTCTATATTTTTTTATAACCGTGGTGTCTGGGCCAGCTCTCGCGCACCTCGATAATTTTCTATATCTTTTTTGGATGACGGTGGTGTCTGGCCCAGCTTGATATGCACATCAACTATTTCACGGGTAGGTGCTACCTCCCAATAGCATAGGTACCAGGTAATGTGGCCCACATTTTAAGCATATTGAAAGAAATCACCTAGTAATTTTTTGACTCTGCAAGATTTAAACCTAAGACCTCATGGTTCTCTTTACACTTCATTGAACACTAAGCCATCCCCTTGGATGCCCAAAAAAATGTTCTTTTTATTGACAATAGTGGTGTTTGGGCAGCTTATGCGCACCTACTATCTCCCACCAAGTAAAGGCACCGAGTAACACTGCTGATCAAGGCTTACGCAGATCATAGATGAGAAGAAATCACTTATAGTAATAGTTTTTCTTTTAATGCTAGAATTTAAACTCTAAAGAATGTTGAAAACGCCCAATCCAATTAGCAGGCAAGAAAAAATAGTAAGAAAAATACTCAATAGAAGAGAGGAATTGGAAATTACAGGGTTTGGGCATCAGTACCGAGGCCAGAAAGGCCAATAAAAAGCTTGTCATGTATTTTAAAAATTCTTTGGAAATCAGTAGCAATCGTTTGCAGCTGTACACCAAGCCGCCGGTCACTGGCAATAGCGAAACAGTTTTTCCCAACCATAGCCACTAAAGCACTTCCATTGTACTCGAAGATCTGTTCATAAATTTACCAAATTTTCAGAAATAAGTATTATATAAATTCTCATATTCGATGCATAAGAGCTAGGTTTACAACAGTTATTAAGCATTTGTGCACATCAGATGAAGAAGAAAAAGAAGAACTTACCGACATCGGAAACTGATTAGAAAAACGATTCGATATTTTCCGGTATACTTTAATTTGCTAATGAAGAGACTGTGTTTTGGTGTCTTGGGGAACACTTAAATTGCAGCACCTTATATTGAATCTTTTTGCAATATTCAATATGGAGGGATGAAGAGGATTTATTTTATTTTATTTTATTTTGTATCTTTTTCTTTTATTTGTTATTTAATTTTCTAGTTTTAGCATTACTTTTTAAAATCAAAATTGCCAATTCTCAATGTAAGTTGTAATATTTATTTTGTAAATAGATAATTATCTTTAATATATTAACCATTTATTATCTTTCGATGCTTGGAAGAAGGTGCTATTTGTACATCATGACCCTTTACAATTTTGAATTTAAGAAAATGACCTTTTTAGATCTCTTATGTGTAAAGACAGATCTCTTACGTGTAAAAATAAATCTATCATGTGTAAAAAAAGAGGTACGGTCATAAAACTAAAAACTAATTACCCCGAGCTTGGAAGGGACAAAAGAAAAAAAATTATTTTTTCTTCAATAATTTTTAATCTCTAATGAACCTCTCAGTAGGATTCGAACCAAGAAGAAGTTATGACCTTCTATAAAAGATAAAAGGACGAGTAGATTGTGTAGGATTCCCAAGAAATTCTTTGGGAAACAGATGATTAGTCATATGCTTCTCACGTTTCGTAACTAGCCGGGACATTGAGGAATATCCAAAAAGGCATTTCGGGAATCACCCTGATTTTATCTCTTTCATTTCGTTTGAAAAAAAGAAGGATCCCAAAGAATCGGTCTTTCTTTTCATTGTTGAATTTTTCTTTGATTAATCAATGTATGATATTCTAAATCCTCATTGGCTAGAATCTCTTACTTGGATGAAACTAGATCTTGTAGAATCATATCGAAAATGGTGCAAATATAAGTATCTATTAAGCTATTCTATGATTATTAAGTAATAAAATAAGTTGTGAAATTAATGTAATAATGATGTCAATGAAATTGTGTCAAACTTTCAAGGATATCGCAGATAAGAGTATTACATAAACAGAAAAAGAGAGAATTATTTCTCCTAGTTGATTACTTTAACATTTAGCAAATCTATCTATAGCTTAATTATCTCCTCTATATGAATAACCATAGAAGCGAACCACCCCTAAGTAGTTCATGGTTTGGTCACAGAGCCTACAAGAAGCAACTTGTTATGATCAATATTGATATGCGAGACATTATTGTTTAAGTAATTTCAATAAATTTTCATATTTTATTCTTGAATCAGAATAAATTATAAAGAATTAAACCTCGGCTACTTGAGTAAAACTTCCAAGCTAATAGTGGATAATGAAATGTGTTGAAAACTATAGTCTCAGGTTAAAATCCCAAACAGAAGCAAGAACGCAAGGTAATTTCTTCCTATCTGTTCAAGTCTTGGTGTACAGAGTTACCCTGTACTTGTGCTGATGGGAAGTAATAGGTAACCAGTCTTTGGTGCACAAAGTTTCACAGGACATTACTAGAAGTTGCTGCTTTCCACCCCCTTCTTAATTTTTCTCTACCTTTCTCTACTTAAATACCAAGCATATGTGTGCGACAAGGTTTGAACCCGTGAGATGCGCCTAACCCACAAATCACACATTGCATTCTTACCACTAGACCAAAGCCCTGTGAGTTAGCTTCCTCGCTTTTTTCACCAGGTTACTTACCAACAGTCCTTGAATGCATTCATGAGGCCACAAAATTTTCATTTCAGTCAAATAGTACAAAAATGAGCAGGCCATTATGCTCATTATTAAACTCCTAGGTTTTCAAACCTTTGTTTTGCACCAAGAAGAAATCAGTAGAATCGTCTGATACTAGATGAAGAGGTACCCTGGAAAGCAGGAATAGAGGCACAGGCCTGCCATTAGAAGAAACCTTGAAGAGATGAAATATAACCGAGGTATATCTATTGAAAAGCTAAAAGCTCGGAGTTCAGATGCTTCAGGAAGTGCTAGACGCAAGGCTTGCGCTATTGCTTAAAGGGTTAATAGGACTCTCTGCTCCCCAACTTTTGGCTTTCACAAGGTTTAACTTATCTTTGACATCCAAAACATTCCCTGGAGTTTGAAGCATCACAGGTTTAATCCCGTTCGATACCATTTGAGAGCTACTAGAATCCTGCTTTGCTCTAAAAACGCCCCATAAATAGTGTTTGCTTTGGAATCCTGCCAACCAGTTTTCTCAAGCAACTTAAATAAAAATTTCAGTGAAGCAGCGTTTATCAAATATCAAATAAAAACTTACTCCAGTGAAGCAGGGGCAGTTCCGTGGAAGTGAAAACCAATAGTTCAGCATTTGTCACAACTGCTCGGAGAGCAAGTTGTTCGCCAATCATCTCCTCAACCAAATGATCAAAATCCATCACATGTCTGTACTGAGAAAAAATAGAATGACAACAAGCGAATCTGATGGGAAAAAAAAAAGGCCAGGCCGGTGCACAAAGTATCCCGCGTTGACGTAGGGTCCAGAGAAGGGCGTTTTCTAAGGAGGTGTGATATAGGCAGCTTACCCTGATGCTTGCATCAGTGGCTGATTCCACTACTTGAACCCGTGACCTATAGGTCACACGGAGACAACTTGACCGTTGCTCCAAGGCTCCCTTTTAATCTGATGAAAAACAAAGTGTAAAATAGTGAAAATATAGAATAATTACCTCGCATCCAAAGGAAAGAAATACAATGCAATATTAGCATCAGAGGGTTCTGATGTGTTGAAACTCTTAGGCCATATATCAGATTTCGGAAGCATTTCCAGGTTAAGCAAAGGTGGAAATAATTTTGCTTCTTCAAAAACCTTTTGGCATGCTTTGACTGATAGGTGAGCTACAAGTCCGCCAAGTATCTCATACTTTTTGTTCCATATATAAAAACCACCCCTGCCAACAAAAATGCAAGAGAACAAAAAAAAATCATTCACAATAAAACAGGTCCATACTGATAAATAATCTCCCAAGCGAATAATACGTGAGATATCTCCTGACCTCCAACTAGGATCATAAACAGGCTGTGCTTGTTCCTGGACACCATGTATAAAATCTTTTGGCAGTTCGCCGTTCAAAGATTGAGAAGCGTCTCCATTTAGAGCAGTTCTATTTTCCGGTGTCGATCTCCTGTCTCTTTTTGATTCCCTTCCATGACAATCATTAGACGAAAATATACTCCCCTTTTCAGTGATGGCAGAACAATCACCCATTGCATCGAGCTGAGTATTTGCATCACGAGGTTGCTTGGAAATACAAGGTTGAAGACTTTTCCCAACCATCTCGGTCAGTGAACAATCAGTCTCTCTCTTCGACAACTTAGTTGGCAAGGCAGAAAGATCAGCTAATTGCATTCGTTCATTGCAAGCAGTTCTTGCTTGTAATTGCTCCGAAGAGCTAATTACTCGTCCTGTTACCTCTTTCTTATCTATCACATAAGTAGGATTATATTTCTCCTTCTCGCTAATCTTCCTACCTTTGCTATCACCTACTAATTGACTATGCTCTACCAAATCAATTTTGGGACATTTCTTGACATGTTTTGGCACCTTCATCTCACAATCATCACAAACCCAACAGACATATTCATCAAATGTTTCCGGAATTTTATCAAGGCAGTAGCTGAAGAGATAAAAGAAAACCGAGGATTAAAAAACAAAAGAAAGACATCTGAAAGATTAACCTAAAATCTTTATCCGTATTTAAAGACAACTAATGTATGTTCCAGCCATCAATTAATGCAAACCGGCAAACCAGAAATTTTCACGCAAGAGAGAACAAAAACTCAAAAAACAAAAGCTAATAAGAGACGGTAAAATCATTGAACTTTACAATGACATTTAGTAGTGTGTCAACTCACCGATGCACAGCAACTTCTAGACATTCTACACAGAAAACAAAGGCGTTAGAGAATCCTTTGTCACCACACTGTAGACATATTGTCACCTGCAGAACATGGCGAAATAAGTATGGAAAATACAGTTATAGGCAAAGCAATATACAACTAGTGGGTAGCTTCCACCTAGCTAGCATTTTTGCTTCGTTTGTATTGCAATTTGCACACTGTGCTTCTAGTTCGATATTGAGTAGGCTAAGTTCACCTTGCAGATAGTTTTTCTACGTGTTTTTCAAAAGTAAAAAGCGCAAAAAAGCGACAAGGTCTATGGAGCTTAAAACAAAAAGTGAGAAGGGACACACACGATTCTTTGAAGTAAAGCGCAAACTTCAGGAAAAAGCAATAAATGCCAAACATATATGATTTCGTACTATAACAATCAAATTGAAATTAATATACTAATTTTCTACCTAATATACAACAATAACGGTATTAATCCAACTTCTGAATGTTGATATTCAAAGAACCAACCAATCTCATTTGGATCACCTTGAACATCATTGTTAGAAACACATACTTCACTGAAGCATATGGCTTCGCTCGTGAAGCAAGAATCACTAGCTTCACATCATTTCATCTCTTTAAGCGATGAAGCGCTGGCTTTCAATTAGCACCAGTCTTTTTTTATTGCCACCACACCACTAGTTAAAGTGATTGCAAGCAGAGCTTTGGACACTTGGTTTCTTTAGTAAGTTAATCCAGCCAAGCTTGCACTATGCTTGGCATTCTTACAATTATAACCAGGTAAATGATTGTTCTATATGTTTTAAAAGACATTAGACCTTTTAATACGTTGAAGTAAAACAATTCATACACAATTGAAAAACATCTATCCATGAAAGTTCTTATTTTATCTAAACAATTTCACTATCCACAAACTACGTATAACAAGCAAAGAAAACATAGCAAACAGCCCGGGGCGGAGCTAGTAGGCATTTCGTCGAAAAATTATACTGAGCAAATAGGTGGAATTTTTTTGATATAATAAAAAAAAGGGCAGCCCAGTGCACTAAGCTCCCGCTATGTGCGGGGTCCGGGGAAGGGTCGGACCACAAGGTTCTATTGTATGCAGCCTTACCCTGCATTATAAATTGGTAATCCCCTTGAGACAAGGGAAAATTCTAGTGTAATGATAAAGGGGGTTCAAAAGTTGTTTTATGTCACAAGATCAACTCTATGACATTCTAATATTTTTTTTGAATCCCCTCATATAAATTTCTAACTCCGCCTTTGTTTAATCAGTGTATCGGGAAACAACAAATCACAAGTAAAAAGTTCTTTCACAACTGTCAATGAAGAGAATACACATTTCCTTCTCTGTGGTGAACCCGGTGGTATAAAACTAAATAAATTCCTGAAAGCCCAAAAATTTGTGATAATTAAATATACACATCATATTCCTGATTTTAGTTGCAAGAGCTCAAATCAACCACTGATGCTCGTGTTAGGGTTGTCTACATAACATACCTTGGGGTTGGCCCTTCCACGGACTTAGGATTGTGAAATAGTTAATTTAGAGTTGACTCTTAACTCTTAGGTTCCGTTTGGTACGAGGAATAAGGGATAACTAATCCTGGGATTAAATTTGGGATGAATTCATCCCAATTTTGTTGGGATAAAATTGCAGTATAACTAATCCCGTATCCTGAGATTGTAGTATTATTTCTATCTCTATGGGAGGGTGGAATAACAATCGCAGGATAACTAATCCTGGGATAACTTGTTTCCAACCCAAACAATCTCTTAATATTAGTTCTATCAAAATTTAGAGTATTAGCCGAAGTAATTACAATGCTTTCGTGCATCGAGCTGCCCTTTCAATACTCAGGACTTAGCAACTAAAAATCCTACATTGAGAACAAAATGAAACAAAGAGAAACAAATACTGAAGAGAACAAGAAAATTGTACAAGCACTTAAAAACATACCATGGTGGGAAGAAGTTTATGGACCCAGAAATAAATGCAGATAGGCAATGGAAATATGCGAACGAAAAGCTCATATATAATAAGAATTGAGGAAGATTCTGAACACAACAACTGCGTTTGTGTTACTTATTCGTCAACTCAACTCGCAAGTGTATGTATATTAGATGGTACTTGTAAGTACCATTGGAATTACCGGGTTAAAAATCGGTGTATTGGGTCAAACTTTGGCGGGTTAAAATAATTATATATGGAGACCTATACTAGGAGCAAGTGTACAAATAGACATTTTCCGGGATGTGAGCCAAATATATCCCTCTATTATGATAAAATATTTAAATATATAGTTCGTTATACTTTTGGTCCAAATACACCCTTGCCGTAATATTATTGGTTCAAATATACCCCTCTTCCGTTAAGTTTATCCAAAGTGGACATCCAATCCTACGTGACACTGGCATTTGATGAGGTGAATGTCATATGGCATGCCACTTCAGCGCCCTTAATTCATATATAAAAGATTAAAATTTAGAATATAATATTTTTCATTGGTAAACAGTAATGGTGGCAATAGTGGTGGAGGGGAAGAAAATTTTAGTGGAGGAAAAAAATAGAAGGGAGGGGTAAAATGGGTTAGGGGCGCTGAGGTGGCAAGCCATGTGGCATCCACCTCATCAAATGCCAGTGCCACGTAGGACTGGATGTCCACTTTGGACAAACTTCACGAAAGGGGAATATATTTGAACCAATAATATAACGATAGGGCTATATTTGGACTCAAAGTATAACGATGAGTACATATAAATCTTTTATGATAGTAAAGGGGTATATTTGGCCCTTTTCCGTATTTAGAGATTAATCAGTATTTATTTTTTTCTGAATTTTAAATTAAAAATCAGAACTTCAAAATATTTTTGTCAACTGAAAAACTAAAATTTAAAACGCACTGGATAATTCCTAATTTGCAGCCATTTATAGTGACTACCTGGTGTCAACCCTATAGTAACATCACTTAATAATATGATCATTTTGAATATGGGATTATAAATCGGAAGTTAAATAATGAGGAGAAGGCTTTAATTTATACTAGGGTTTACTTCATCTCAATTTAGTTTTTTTTTCTTCTATTTTTATTTGGAAAAGGAAAAACAAGATTGGGAAGCTAAAGAAGATAGATCGTACTCCCTTTAGAGCCTGTTTGGAAAGCGCCCTAAGAATTGGATTTGGGTGTAACGGGGTATAATTACAAGGTTTTGTATGTTTGTCTATACTTGGTCAGCATGAAATTGGGTGTAATTGGAGAGGTGTAATTATACTCTCCAATTTTTAAGGGGAGGTGGGAATTGATGGTAATTACACCGCGAAATTATAATGTTACTTTCAAATTTTTCCCCTTTTTGTTTTTATTTTAATTTATTTTTTATAATTTTTTATTTTCATCATTTTATTTTCTTTTTTAATTATCAAATATATTTTTCTTTGTACATTATTTATCTTTTATTTCTCTACCTTTACTTCTTGTGATACCATATAATTGCTCATATATTTTATTTTCTTCATTTAGCGTAACTGCATTATTATTCTAGTTTTTGAAACTACATCTTCTAATATTAGAATAATGAGTCATTAACAAACTTAACATATGATGAGTGATGTCATTAAATTAGAATTTCATTGTTGAATAAGGTTATAAACTTATTATGTTTCCTAATCTTCAGTTGTATTATAACTTATTTTTATATGCTAAACTATTTTTTATTTTTTGGATTTTGAAATTGTGTTATATTTATGGTTTCAATTTATTTGTTTTAGCAGTATTGACTTGTTATTTCACATTGTATGTAGTTCATTTTTTTAGTTAGAATTGATAGATTAGTTTTGTTAAACATTTGAATAATGTTATGACGTTATATTTATAAATATTAATTTATTTTTATCAAACATGCATTCCATGATGTTCTTACAAGATGTATGTTTTTAGTTTCTATAATTAATTAAAAAAATATTACTATTAATTTGGATAATATATATAAATTAATTAATTTTACAATATTAGTTATAAATATATGTTTTCTAATTAATGTATATTCAAGAAAATATATGCATCTTAAATGCCAAATCTAATATCATTTAAACTTATAAAAAATTATTTATAGGCATATATTTATAACATTAACTTTTAAGTTTTGATAATTACTTTATTTAAAATTTAATCTAACTGTGTAATTACATTTGTGCAGCCAAAAAATACGCTTGTAATTACGTTATGACAAACAAACAGGTCATCGTAATTACTATATTGTATAATTACTAGGCTATATAATTACTACTCTAATAATTACACCAATTCCAATTATCAAGTGGCTTTTCAAACATACCCTTAGTTCAATTCATGTAAAATTACTTTTTTTGGCCATTTAAAAAAGAATGACTTGTTATTAAATTTGAAAATAATTTTTGCAAACTTTCACTTTACCAGTAAAGAGAAACTTTTTAGCCATGCAAATGTTACGTATCTCTAAAATCACAAGATTCAAAACTCTTATAATTGTTATGACATGTTTAAGATCATAAGCTCCAAAAATCTTTCTTTCTTAAATTTTTTGCTTAGTCGATAAATTTCACATGATTGATGAGGAGAGAGTATGATTTTAAAATATTTTTTAAAATGAGGAGAAAAAACCTCAAAGATAATATTTTTGAGACGTCCCAAAAATATTTTTTTGACCATATATGTCCTAACCGAAAAATTGAAATGTCACGACCTAGTTTCTCCCCCCGTGAACTGTCGTGACGACACCTAGTCTCTACGACTAGGTAAGCCTAATATTGCGGAAATAAAATGAAAACACAAAGATAACAGCTAACAGATATAATTAATAAGCGAAAACGGTGCCATCCAACATATACAATAATCCTCTTCCCCAAAACCCGAAATGTCGCAATGTCACAAGCTTCTAAGAGTTTCCAATTGCTCTATACATTCATGACTGAAGAAAACAAAGGGGAAATTAGCACAAGGGGATGGAAGGGGACTCCGAGGTCTGCGGATGCGGGCAGATGTACCTTGAAGTCTCCTGAGGCAGCAACCACGCAACTAGACCCAAGGTTGATAGCTAGTACCTGGATCTGACACGGAAAACATGTGCAGGAAAGACATCAGTACACCATAACGGTACCCAGTAAGTGCCAAGCCTAACCTCGGTCGAGTAGTGACGAGATTAGGTTAGTTCCCTACTGGTATAAATATAATGAGATAAGACTGAAAGAAATTTTACAGTAAAATAAATACGGAAATCTAACAGGAATAGAATTCAATGGAAGCCAACAGCTCAGAACACAGTAATAGCAACAGGGGATCTCCCGAGATACCGTCCCGTAGTCCCAAACGTAAATGTGCATTACTGGGGGATCTACCGTAATATCATTCCGTAGTTCCAAAGTAAATATGCAGTACAGTGGGATCTCCCGAAATATCGTTCCGTAATCCCAAAGTAAATATGCAGTACAGGAGGATCTCCCAGAATACCATTCCATAGTCCCAACGTAAATATACAGCTCAACCAATATAACAACAGTTACAGCAAGGAAACCTACAGTTTAGACTGATTTCACATCAAAGAAAATATGTAATTTCACTAAAAATGTTGCACAGAGTTCAAATTGGCAGTTAAAACACGTAGGCATGCTTTTCTAATCTAAACAAAGTAGTTACATATGCTAGTGTAGTTTAAACAAGGAGAAACAAGTTATGACTTAGTGAAAAATGGAGTTTTACAACAAATAGCCTATGTACGTACTCGCCACCTCACGTATACGACGCTCATATATCAAACAATACCAAATCTTAAGGAGAATTCCCTCACACAAGGTTAGGGAAGCCACTTACCTCTAACCAAGCTTAAATCAATCAGTAATAATGTCCTTTCCACGAATATCTGGCTCCGGAAACCCAAATCTAACAAAAATTATGTTGCACCTTGTGTATTTGGCGTTATCATGCTGTAAAGGGGCTAATTCGATTGGAATATAATTTCTATAAAATATTTAAATTATGCGATAGTTATACATTAAGATTGGAAGTCATTCGAGTTGTGATTAAAAATTCGACAAAGATCGCCGCAAGTTATGGGTTTTAAATTTCACTGAAATTTAGATAAAATGTTGATGAGCTTTTCTCTCAATATGCTAGGTATTATGGTGTGTTCTACCCACCTAATCTAAGGTCTATGAGTCTAGTTTTCAACGCAATAAACCGTTTGTTAATACGACTTCGGAGTAGAGAGATATTAACATTTTCGTATAGGGGTGCACACTGTTACGGGAATAGTGTGCATAGTCGGTTTTGGTTAAATTTTTTTTTTATTTAAGTCAGTTTTAAAACATAACCCCTGCATTTTATCCTCTCCAAAACAGAACCTAAAACCTAGGGATTTCCTCTCAAACTCCTCCCATCCATCTAGCCAATCATAACAACAATTTAGTCATCCTCAAGATAGAGAACACCATGGTAGCTTCGGAATCGTGAATTCTTCGGTGTTTCACTTTTCGTAGGAAGACTCCGCCTTAAAGTAATCTCGAATTTAAAGTAATTCTGGTCACATAAGGTATGATTTAACTTCCTCTTTGATCTTTGTAAACTTCTACCATAAGAATTCTTAAGAAATAGTTGAAACCTCTATAGAAATGTTATTGATTTTTTTAAAGAAACCTCTCTTAATATGACTTAATTGTTGGAGCTGTTTTATATGGTTTTATTGTGTTGTTTGGATCTGTGAAGACATGGATGGAATCGTGTCGATGAACAGATGTAGTAAAGTAAAAATTTGGTGGTGTGTTGGGGGGAAATTAAGCTACAAAAGAGTCTACAAATTCATGCCCGCAAGTTGTTCGCTTAAATGTCTAAATGAAGAATTATATAAGATATGAGCTTGAATTTGATATTGAATGGTTCGTATTATGTAGGAAATCATTCCTAAGGCTTTCGAGGTCTCGGAAACCGTATATAACTCCAGCGACAAGGTATGTAGGGCCTTCGCTATACTTTTCGGCATGACTAGAATTCGAATATACGTTTATCGAATTGTTTCGTCGGATTTGAGTTATTTCACCTTCAACTTATAAAGATGCTTAG